CGGTTATGGTTTGGGGTTAAATGACTAGGTCGTGGCGTAGGTAGCTGGTCATTATCGATGGAATCATGACCAATGAGGTCCAAATAATCATTCTAAACGATAATTTGAAATAATTTGATAAAAATCTGACCTATGAAGGAATTTTATATTCCAAAAATTCAGTGACCCCAAATATGTAGCCAATTTAACGATGCAAGGTTTTGCAGATCGAAAAGGTTAAGCTTTTTTCGTTGATTGCACAGTCTCCCGATGTGATTCTGATTGTCCGGATTGAGAAAAGAGGGACTGGTGGGAAACCACTCTTCGAAAAACGAGCTTGTCAAAAGTTCGAAGGAAGTGTGGGCAGCCATATAGAAAAGCGTTATAAAGAAACTTGTTGAATCAATTCCACGACGTTTTTTGGCTCGTATTGCGTCGAAGGGAGGTGCTACGTAATACTAGAAGCAGTTTGTCATAATAAAATTGGCGTTTCTTTGATTTATGATTTTTTAAGTTAAGGGTTGCCAATACTTTTTGTGGGTAAATTTTGCAAATTTTCCAACAAATTATTTAAAACCTGTGTTTATCTAATTTTAATTCATAAATCATGATTATAATCGAAAACTACATTATATTTGCTAAATGGGTACCAATTTTCATGCCAATTGTATGATACATTCCATGGTGATAGCCAATTTTATTTAGCTGGCGTGGGGGTTGCCAATACTTTTTCCATTGACTGTATTTCTTAAACTTATGTAAAATAGACGGATACAGTAACATGATATAAAAATATAAGTAAATTACAATACAATTATATGTTCAAGGCAAAGCACCTTACATAAAAAGGTGAAAACATATCCCCTTGTAATATATAATAGGGTCGCCGCGGGTAACGGGTCGGGTACCCGTTACCCGCATACCCGCACGATTCTTGCGGGTACCCGTTATCTGCGGGTAGTGAGAACTACCCGCACGGGTAACGGGTAGGTCAGTTTTTATTTAATTTTCGACATAAATCAGTTCACAAAGAAAGGTAGCATCAAGTTAGTCTATTTACCAACAACAGAGTCAGTATATTATTTATGCATTTGAAAATTTGCCATTTGCCAGCAATTAGAGTTTGTAACGAGCGTGTCTCTTCGGAAGCCACAGAAGCCTACGGCAGCCTCAAATACTTTTTGCGTTCAGATAATTCCGAGAAATTATTGTTTCACAAGCAGAATTCACCCTTTCTTAAATATCGGTACTAATTTGGCTTGTATTTCTGCGTATCTATGTAACACTGACGATATCTTAATTTTTCGGGTGAAAACCGTCGATACGATTGAAGGCAAAATTTGGAGGCAATTTTTTAAAATAAAAACTGAATTTAAATCAAAATTTCAAAAAATCGAACTACCAATGGAATCTTTTCTCAAGCTACACCAGGATTGTTAAGCGAGTTCTATCAAAAAGATAAGTCAAAATTAGAAATCACGTGATTCTTATCTTTCGCTGACTAGTCACTTTGAAGCAAAATGTCGTTGCAAAGTTCAATTTTTAAGTAAATGTTCTCTCTTTTTCCTTCACTGGACGTAAACCATGGTGGACTTTGACCTGCCTCGCCCGCCATAGTTTTCTTCAAAGGGGCCATTCACTGGAAAGATAAGTGTATGTAATTCCTAATTTCTGGCTTGATTTTTGATACAGCCCGCTAAGAAACCCGGTGTAGCTTCAAAAAGGTTCCATTGTAAGAAAAAGGTTTGGTATTAAATAGAAATAACTAATGACATCTACCTAGCAAATTACGGTATGCGTTACTTGCTTCACATTATTTCAAACTATATATCAACCCAAATGAGCAAATAATTGATTAGACCAAATTTATTCCGAAGCTTAGTTGGGTTTTAGCTTAATTCTCATAACGGGTAGCGGGTAACGGGTACCCGCACGGGTACCCGTGCGGGTACGGGTAGTTGGACTGCGGGTAACGGGTCGGGTAACGGGCAGCATTTTTGCTACCCGCGGCAACCCTAATATATATTAAGCAATTATAAGTTATAAAATGGGTTGATAACATTACACAGATAGATTTTAACTCATATAATATGTACGTGTCTGTATGGATTCATTATGCAGTATGTACATATATATATACCTACATACATATGTAAATGTTTAAAATATGTATTTAATTATGTAGACCTAAGTAAATGTGTTTGCTGGCAATGAGAAAATAATTCTGTATGCATTGACTCAACACTCTTAGCAACTTGGTAAAGAATTCCTAATAAGCGTCTTTACCGGGCTCTTGGTAAATACGCGTCCTACAAAAATTATACGGGATTATTACCGTATCAATACCAAACGGGTAACTAGCCTTCTACAGCAATATTGTAAGTTATCTTTATAATTTTGGTAATGAATTCCTACGAACCGGTAATTATATCCTTCAAATTTAGATAACACTGTTTACTATAATTTTAATTAAGTGTAGTACAAATTTTTTCCGTTGTGGTTATGATGAGATCTACATTTTGGTGTAGTTTATTACCATAGAGGTAATAATTTTAATACATTTGGTGTGAATTGTGAGACGCTAAACAGTGGCGCGGGTACCGCTCAGCTCAAATCAAGTCAACATGGCGAAATTAGTCCGCGTGTCCAATTCTGCCCTTAGGAAAAAACTTCTGGAAATTATATAGAATTTTTGGAAACAGGTAAGTATCAAATTATCAAATGTAGGTGCCTCATCAAGATTGTGATGGAGCACCATCTTAATACATATAGGGACGAGTAAATAATAATCTTGTGTTTATTTTTTCAGTGAAACAAAAATTTGAGTTGGAAATCGGAGAATACAGAGAGGGTGAGTCCTTAAAGCATTCTTAATATTTAATAATATATTTAATTTGACAAATTAAATTTCAGAGTTTCTCTTATATCCTCCAATTAGACACACTGAGCAGCTGCAATAATTAAGCTACTGCCATCATTGAGATATTCAAGTCAGTGGAGGGTCTAGTGAGTGAAAATTTCGTGAATTATTTAAATGTGCTCTTGTATTGAGAATTTCTAAAAATTTTGAATTTTTAATCTGCAGGTTTGTTTGATGACGTCAACTGATGTGGACTCATCCAAAATGGACTGAAGACGATTCACCGGAATTTGAAGGGGGAACAGACGAGTGTCAAAAAAAGCAGGATTCGACAATTTCAAATTCCGGGCCTAACAAGAAAATCTCAAGACCAATTCCTGAGAATTTCGAATTTAATGACGCACTTGGGAAAATAAAGCAGATGGTGGATACGCTCGGTCATCGTAATATTTTAAGGAACGCTGGGGATTAGTCGATCTTGAAAATTTACAGAATATTTGCAGAATATAACTTCATGGTATTTACACATTTTTGGAAATATCTAAAATTTGTTTAAGTCGATTATTGTCTAATTTAACATTTAAATAGTTTCATAGATGAGTTCTTTCTGATACAGAAAATCTATTTACCAAAAACTGTCCTGGATTAGCAGATTTAATTTTCATGTAAATATGTATACATGTGTATGTATGTAACTCAATAGTTTACATTATACTTAAATTTGATAATTATATAAGTTTCAAAATGCTTTTATAATAAATATAACTGAAAGACTATTTTAAAGAAAAGCAAAAAATCTATTCTTTTCGGTGGAAATCTGCACAACATTTGGTAATAATGGGGTATACGTAATAAGAAGCATTATTACCGGCATGAATAGCACACCGTGTACAAAGTGGTATGGTGTATTACCAGGCGGTAGACATTTTACTACATATTGTAGTACATCTGTCATACATCACGGTATTAATTTTAACCCAAAAAGTGTTCTTTATTACCACTTTGGGTTCAATAAATTTCTTTACCAGCTGGTGGTTATTATTACCGTTTCTGCAGAGTCATATACGTGTGCATTTTGGTAATGATTTGGTAATGATTTTATTTAGAGTGAACACGTATGTGTACGTACATATATGTACACATTAATAACGTGAACATGATGTATTTGGGTATGTATGTATGTATATTGTTACCATAGATTGGCTAGGATACATAACTTACATAAATAATTAATAATATGTATTTATGGCGTTCATACCCGCGTTACAAAACGATGAATCGTTCTCTAATAAATCGAGTATTAACTCAAGGGAGTAATTTATCTTGCAGCCAGCAATAAAAATTGACTTTGAACTCTAGTACTTTGAACTTGAGCATGCACAGTTACGTTGGACATTCGAATGACACACGCTGAACATTCGATTTGTATATGTATGTATGTGCATGCTTAGATTTGTATTTCATTACATTGCGAAAAAATCCAAATACATAAACACGGTGTAAATCCGGGGTAAATTTACATGCATGTATATTTTTCGATTTGCTAAGAAGTATATGCAAGCCATATGTATTTATGTTTTTATGCAGAGCTTGGAAAATCTTAAAATACTCTTGCCCATCAAATTGATTTGATTTAATTTTTACTTTGTAACGTAATCTTCAAGTCTTCCTCTTCAATGTTAATCAGGATTAATGTTATGATTAAAATCGTTCAAAATTTATGGTCTAATATCGAAGTGAGCTATAAAAAACGGGAACAAATTTAATCAATCCAAATTAATATTATTAATCTAGATTAATAATTTTTAATTTTTAATCTGTGTCAGCCAATAAGATTAATTAGTCTTAAATAATTTAATTTGGCAGTGGAAGGATAATCTTAATCTCTGATTTGGGAATTTTTTATCTCAAATCCTAATTTTAAATCTAGAAACTCATAAATTTCCCAGCTATGTTCATAAATACGTGACTATTATAACTCTATCAGAGTTTTAATAGTGTACATCTAAATATGTACGTAACTACATCGAACCGTAACCTTATATATTCTTAATTATTTTGCTCAAATTGTATCATTATCAATTCACAGTTTATTCCTCTCTCTAAACTTAAACCATTTTTAACCAAGGTGTCACCAAGGCGGCCAGCCCAGTCGATATTCAGTCTTCGAACCGACACAATCTAGAAGGATTCCATTTCCAAGTAATTTCCAGAAACGATGAAATCCATTCTTATCCTCGTGGCTTCCTTGGTTGTATTAGTTGGGGCAGGTAAAGACTGAATTTTGACAAGTTTTATTACTCGTTTCAAAATTACTAGCGGTATAAAAATTCTTCAACTAAATATTTTTGTTTCAAATTTTGCGAATTTGTTGAACTCGACTTTTTACAGCGCCCCAATTACCAACCTCCCCACCCACACCCGCGACCTAGATAGGTCGCGAGTACCCTTTCCTCCCTCACCGACTCCTTAAACCAGCTCTCCGCTTATTTAACCAATCTATTGACGAAAGCTTCCCCAGAGGTGTCCTCGGCCCTGAAATCGGTGGAGCAGGTGCAGGAGGCGGTCAGAACTCTCATCCTCAGCACGCTCGACAGTCCACTTATAAAGCAGCAACTTGACCGGGCCAGTGAAAACCTGAGGAACCTGCTAAATCGAGTGACAAATAACGTGCTTCCTGAGGAAAGTCAGAACGTGCGTGATGCCATTATTGAAATCCAGAATTCTTTGACCCAGATTAAAAACGATCTGCTCAACTCTATTCCCACGACCACGACGGCTCCAATAAATTTGTTTGCTATTTCGAACGTCATACAGGTAGCGTCAGGTTAACGCATACTTTAAATACCTTGATTTACTAGCTTACATATTTAGTTTGGAATTTTCTTATTTTATCCAAAATGTAATTTAAAGGGCGGACAGAAATCTGAAAAAAAATCCGACAGTCAAATTTATTGGTATTTGTTATCGGGTAATATGTTTAAGCAATTAATAAATTGGTGGATAACATTACACAGATACGAATCCGTATTATGTATTCATATGTATGTACTGTATAAACACATTAATCAAGCAGTGTTATACACATTCATATGTATTTAAAGATCTTGTTTAAGTCGATTCATAAATAGATGTATGTATGTTGGGTACAGGGAAATAATTTTATTTGCATTGGTTCGCAATGGAGGTCTCTCAATCATAAATTTTTACCAGATTATGCAGTATCAATCAATCAGAACTTTGATTAATATGAAATTTGCAAAATGCACGATCTGCCAATGTGCAGGTTTGGCAGAAATATTTGCATTCAAAGAGCATAAGTGGTAACAAATTTTACAACTACGAAATTTACGTACAGCATGTTTTTCCTCTTCGGATGTAGCCAAACCTACGGATTTTGCAGATCGTGTCTGTTACAGATTTCATACTTATTAAATTTGTTATTGATTGACACCACTTTAGTCAAAATCTCATACGTTAGGAGACCTCCATTATGAATAAGTGTACGTCCATATGTATTTATCTACACTCTAAGAAACCCGGTAACTATGTAAGTTATTACCAGGCGGGATATCTACATATGTGACTCTACCGCATGGTAACTAATTTATTATTGAGAGGTAGACATTTTGTTACCAAACCGGTAATAACCCAGGTCGCGAAATTTGAAAATATTACCAGTTGGTAACTAATTTTCTACCACTCAATAAAAAATAATTTACCATGCGGTAGAGTCACATAGATACTCCGCCTGGTAATAACTTATTTAGTGACCGGGTTTCTTAGAGTGTGCACGTGTCAATGATATATATATGTTACCATACATTAGGTAGAATATCTTATTTACATAATTAATGGTATACCTATACATACGTATACTTATGCATATGTAAGGATGGAGTTTGTCCGTGTCAAGCGAATATATGTCATATTTGTCATATTTGTCATATATGTCATATTTGTCAATTTGACCGTCCAATATGTCACGGTTTCAATATGTCCGACATTTATGACAAATATGACGGACAAATTGGACAAATTGGACAAATATGACATTTTGTCTCAATATTCCCCATTTATGTTAGAATTTGTAATTGAGTCTATTGGAATGCCACATTGTCAAGAAATTAAACGTTCGTACATAAATTTATTTTATTTGATTAATTAAGCTAGGAAAAATTTTAAAATCCTACGTAGTTTGTAGAGTAAGATATTGCGGGTTTTAAGGCAAGACTTGTCTAAATTTTCAAATAAGGGTATAACAGCAAAAACAATCGAGATAATAACACTTAATTAATTGATTGAATTAATTTACCTACGATATTACTTATCAATTGTCTTTAACTTTTCCAATTACCACTTTATCAATGGTATCCTTGCTGGTTACATCAGCAGCCAAATGTTTGCATTAATATTTCCTATGTGGACTCATGGTCAGTTGGAGAGACCTTCTACTTGCCCCTCTCAGATCTTGATGCCCTTTGAATATTTGATAGCCCGAATAGAATGTAGGATGGGCACATTTGAGTCCGCCACATTCCCTCAATGTCATGAAAACTACAAAAGTTGCCAACTTCAAATATCCACCAAAAATACATATGCAGCATATGTACATATTTACATAGACATTGCCGATCGGTAAATCGGTCTCCATAACGTAAGCAAGTAAAACGTATTAAATAACTCAAGAGAGCAATTTATTTTGCAGTCATCAGTAAGAATTGCCTTTGATCCTGACTTTGAACTTGAGCATGAATGGTTAAGCGAGACAGTCGGATGACACAAACTGGACTTTGACAAGGATAAGATGAGACGATTTTTGTGAATAATGAATAAGCATTCATTCTTTCTTATTTATGCAAATGCTACATTAGATGCCGCTTAAAATGAGAGCTTTACTTCGCTATGAAGCAATGCCTGGGTTCCAAAAACGTCGTGCTTTTCAGACATTTAAATTATTACTTTTCTGCAGACATACTTAAATTGTTTAAGAAAATACGTAGGTATTTTATTATTAATTTTCAAAAGGTATGTTCCGCACTGTTTCTGACCAAAATTGTGATGAAATAACAAACTTCAAATACATTTAGGAGGCTGTGATTTTTTTCAACTCTGTGGGTTAACATAAACACTAGCAATAAATCGGCAAACTTTACCTCGACGGAAAAAATGCTAGATTTGCAAATTAAATATCGTAGTGTGATTTAATTTTTAATGCTGGATGGGCAATACGTGTCGCAGATTTATGGTTGAATGCTTAAAATGTACAATGAAAACTGCCCAACACAAAACACAAATTAAATTGAGTCAATAATTTTTAATGATGGCGAAACGAGGTCTCGGGCAAAAAGTCGCAAGGACGCTCAAAATCCGCTTCTTCCACAGAAAGGCTCCGGAAACTAGAGGAACCAATAATGAGAGATCCGCGATTGAAACTGTCCTATTTAGCAGATGAGATGGGTTTTTCAAAACCAGCAATTTGTTCCATGTTAACTGAAGACTTAGGTATGAAAATGGTTTCCGTCCGTTGGGTACCAAAATTGCTTTCGGCATCTCACAAACAGGATCGAGTCGACTTTTGCAATGCAAATTTTAACCTATTAAATGAAAACTGGAACCTGCTCAATATTTTATTAGTTGCATATGGTACTTGGGTTTACTATTATGACCCGGTGACCAAATAATAATTCCCTCATTGGAAGCACGAGGGGTTGCCACCGCCCGTGAATTGAACAGTGCAAAAATCTGACAAAAAAATTGATGATGACCATTTTCAAGGATACCAAAGGTCCCCTCCTTATAAAATTTATTGCTGTAAATACTACAATAAATGGGGCCGTGTATGCAAAAACCCCGAAGGAGCTGCGTCCTCCGGTTGAAAAGAAACGTGGGGTCAAAATAAAGAGTTGGCCTTTATTTAGACGACAACGCGCCACCTAATACCTGGCTTTTTGCGAGGGTTAGTGCAGACGAAAATCGCTTTACCTGCACAAACCACGCCCCGTGCAGTCCAGACTTGTCCCTTAGTGATTATTATTCGTTTCTAAACTTAAAGAAAAACATCAGGGGAAAACGGTTTTCGGATGATAATGAAATCAAGTCGTAAATTTTGGCATATTTTCGAGGTAAATTTTAATGAGTTATTGCTAGTGTTAATGTTAACCTACAGAACTGAAAAAAATCACAGCATCCTAAAAGTATTTGAAGTTTGTTATTTCATCAAAAGTTTGGTCAGAAACAGTGCGGAACATACCTTTTGAAAATTAATAATAAAACACACACGTAAAGCCTAGAAAAAATTATCAAATTTTAAAAATTCGCTTAAAAAATTGGCAAGGTATTTACAATACAGAGAAGTACTATCGAATTTTTTTAGCCGGTCACCTCATTTGCATAATTTGACGCATTCGCGAGAGACATAGAGTTTATTCAACACGGAAAGCCCTTTTCGCCGAAAATGGGCATAATGAGATTTATGCAAATGAGGTGATAGGCCTAAATGCGAGGACAGTATGTACATATATTCCCCGTATAACTAATTGTAACTTTCATGTTTTATTTCATATTAAAAATCTTCAACATATCGCATTTACATAACTCTGTATGAAGACCAGTATCAATATTCTGTAATTTTGTAATAAGACAAATTACAAATCACGAAAAACACGACAAATGGCACAATATAAACACAGATGACTAAAAAAACAGCCACACATACAAACCCTGCGTAGTAAATGGATACGTAAAACCTTATTCATTCCTGTTTGTCTCATTTTCTTTACGAATCTATAGATTTATTAAGAAATAAGTGTGAATATGTATGCATGCAATATGTATGTACGATTGCATGATATCAATTAATTCCCCACATAGGTATACTCCAACGACAACTTTACATAAGCAAATTGCGCAAATTAATAGTTATCAATTCCTAATTCATAGTTTATTCATCTCTCTATTAAATCCGAAACTTAACCAGTTTAAACCAAGATCTCACCAAGGTGAAAACCCCCAGTCGCAATTTATCCCTCGAACCGACACAATCTTGAGAAATCCTACATAATTTCGAGAAATTTCCAGAAACGATGAAGCCCATTTTTATCCTGGTTGCTACCTTGGCCTTTGTTGGGGCAGGTAAAGACTGAATTTTAATTAAGTATTTAAAACTATTTGATCCAGTAAATACTTCAATTTTTTTAATTACATATTTTTCCTTCAAATTTTATTTTTATTTTATTTTTAATTTGACTTCGACTTTTTACAGCTCCCCAGCTACCAACCTTCCAGTTACCAGCCATCCAGTTGCCAACCTTGCCACAGATCGCCCCACCTGACCTGACACCTTTGGCCGCCATTCTCACCGGCCCCTTAAACCAGCTCACCGCCACGCTACCCACCCTCACGAATGGGTTAACGTCGCAGCTGACTTTCTTTTCGACACAGCTGTCCATGCTCGCCACCCAGCTGTCCGTGGCGGCCAACACTCTCAGCACCGTGCTCACCAGCCTGGCCAGCTCCCTGCCCGCCCAACTTAACACAGCTCTCCAGTCTTTAGCCACTCAGCTGCAAGGCACCCTTCAATCTCTGCATAAACCACTTAACGACACCCTTGCATCCCTGCAGACCCAACTGAGCCAAGCGATTAATAATGGGCAAACAGCGGTGGCAAGACAACTTGAGAGCATGATTGCTAACCTTAACAAAATCCAGGATGTGTTAAACGGGTTGGCCAATCTTCTCAAAGGTTTGGTTCCAACGCCCACGACGACGACAACGGCGGCCCCAACGAGTAGTTCATCGGGCGCAACGAGCAGCACGGCGGCCCCCACGACCACGACGGTGGCGTCGGGTTAAAAAAATTGAAGTGATTTATTTATTTCTGAATTTTGAAAATTCACTAAATTTATGAGTTGAAAAAAATGTAAATGAATGATAACGATAAAATTTTAGGATTGTCTGGCTACAATTATAATTTTATTGGTCGCATTCATAAATAAATATATATATGTATGTTTTGACGAGAAAATAATAAAATATTCATTGAATAATTGCGCATGTATCTAAAAATATGCAAATAGTGTGGATATTTATGTCCGATTAATGGGTATCTAATATGCACAATTATCTGGAACAATCATTAATTTTATCATCACAGAAAATATCGTATTGGACTACCATTATTCGTTTGGGTAAGAGGTAAACGTCACTCATCGTACACCGCCGCACCACGGTAGCATTTTACACGCAGCGCCCGCCGATAATTGTGGTTTTCTGTTCTTTCAACATTACATATGTACATACATTGGACGCCCGCGCCGCCAACCCTAAACATCACTAAAATCATTGTAGCCATACACTTCAACGATGTTATGTAAGATAAATTTGTGCATATGTCTGCGTATGTATACTTTGAAATCATTATTCATTAGATTCATGAAAAATGTGTGCTAGGCACGGTGAAATAATGTAATACGCACTGACTATATAATACGATTTTTTAAATGATTTGTATACGATTTGTATAGATTAAGTATACGACTAAGGTTAGGGAATTCAAATGTTCGAGTCCTTCGTGGTCAACTTTTCTGATTTGTAATTTGTGAAATGTATATGCAGTGAGAATAAGTGGAATAAACGAAATCTATAGTATAAGCTGGAAATGTTTGTCTGCAACGGAAGTGAAAGTAATTTTCCGTGACGGAAGTAAAACTGGAGAAAGTTTCACTTCCTCGCCAACAGGCATGTCCAGCTAATTATATATAAATATATATAAATATACGTATAGGTATACGTCCCTAGCTGTACGTATATAAATAGATATAATAAAAAAATAATTCGTTGGAATTATGAAAATTCCGACTTAATTTTCACGAAAATCAAATACGCTCTCGCCCGGCGGGAGACGGGCTTATACACTAATATAATATATATACTTATGTGACTAGGTAAACATGCTCTCAAGATATAATTGTATAACCCTGAATTGGCTGTGATACATTTCTTAAATAACTTGGCGTATGTGTAAATATATGTATGTGTGTATCTGTATAATGCATGTATTTCATAAATATAAATAGCCATTAGCTCTTGCAAGTCACAATCATGGAGTAGGTTCCATAGTTTACACATTGTCGGATAACCGTTCACGTCTGACTGCGCATGCGCGATCAAGAAACCATTTTTTGCTGACATTGTCGACAAATGTTCTTGATGCATTTACAATTTTGAATAAAGGGTCTCCACCTTCGCCGAACGTACAACGTTTCCGAGAATATCAGACAAGATATTCCTAAAACTGTGCACCAAATAACGAAAGGCGCCATAACCATTTTAATCTCAACTCCCCCTAATCCCGCAGTCCCCTCGTATACTGGCACTTTTGCGACATTGCTTCTAATCCAAATCCTTTGCAGTAACCCGGGAATACTCACATGCTCATTGCTAGACTTAATTTGAAACTTGTTCTGGATCAAGAGCCTCACTTGCCCAGCCACGTGACTATTCCTATTCCACCACGAATGAATCCCCGATTCTACCAATGCACCAAAATGTCGAGAAAAAATGTCATAGACCCCATTATAATACGCGATCCAGGGGACCCTAAATATCACCGGGTTGGGACTATCTTCCCGGATTTGAATGAATTTCGATGACTTTCCATCAAAGTAACTCAAGTAATTTGAAAATGCTGCGATATCTTCTTTCACACTAATCACTGCAAATTTCTTCCCTCGTAAAACTACACTTCCCTTTTCAGTCTTTTTTGTACAGTTCCACGTGTGAGGATTCGCACAAGTAGTAATAGGTCTCGAGAGAGAAATGTTTTCAGTAATGTCGACCACCTTGTGGAACGCGGGTACGAAAATAGTGCGTCTTAATAACCCATCTGCAACATCGGCGAGAGGTGACTCGTGTCCAAGAATTTCGAGAAAATCCTTACACAACATTTCCAACGGCGACACTGGAATCGGGTAGAATACCGAGGTTAAATATGTCGTTGTAATGATTGGGATATCACTGATAAGTAGATCTTTCAAATTCGTGGGGACGTCTGGGAGAGGAGTCGTCGTCATATAGGAAAAGAGTGCACCCTTGTAGAAAAATCCAAGCAGTAAAGTGGTTATTATCCATCCAGTAAGCGGGAGGATACAAATAGTCTCACCGCCAAAGCATGTTTTCTTTTTCTTCGATGTAAATATTTTCACAAATAGTAGATCCGACTGATCCAGTAAAGTTCCCAACAACCATAGAATTGATAGGGTCCCTTGTTCAGTAACCACAAAAGACATTAACCATATAGTCAGTCCTACCAGAAAAATAAGGATCCACGTAATGACGTCAAATGGTAACACGAGCGCATTTAAATTAGCCTGGGTGACAACGTCTTTAGACTCAAGGAACACCGAAAAACGATAGGTTTCGACCCGTACACCGTACTTTATCCAGTCGAAGGAAAATGATTTTTGATACCCTACAATCACCGTGAGTGCCAAAGAGCTCGCCATCGTTTCCGATATAAGTTTGAAACGCCTGGGAGAAAGTAGGAAACGGGAAAAAGTGAAACGTTGTGGCGATTAATGAAGGACAATTTGACGCAATCATTTTCGGAGAAGCGGTGAATTCTTGAAAATTGGTTGTGATTTCTAGGTGACCATGAACAATACTCCTGCCTGTGCCATTTGTAAGTCAACTTCATATATATCTTTGTGCGTTGTAGGTTTGAGTTTAATCGTTTCCAGTTGCGGATAAGTTCCACTGTTGATGACACATTATACATGGATGGGCCAAGTAGATCTTCCTCGAAGCCAATATTTCCGTTAACCCACCTAACAAGATAAGCTGCATTATGCTCACTGTTAAAAACAACGAATATCGCTGTCGTCGAAATATGTGGAATTATTGGAAATCTGAGCAAATTCCCTGGCTTGAAATTTCTCCCCAAATTGCTGTCTTCAAATAGAATAAAATGAGGATACGCCTGAGAATCTATGACTTGTCGGATCGCTAGAAGCATTTGCAAGGAAATATCCCCCTGAAGATTCCCCTCCTGCGCGATATCTCGCAGCCAGTAGGAAAATATTTGAGCAACCGTACAAACCGTATACTTCGAAGGTACTCTGCGATAACTTATCCCACTCTGATACGTGCTTAAGACGACTCCCATGTTATCACTTCTTGTCTCGTACATGCTCAACATTGTCTTATTAATATGTTCCAACATCAGTGGTGGTTGTCGTTCCTGCCTGATACCAATGTTTGATCGACCTGGAAATAGGATCTGACCTAGCTGACTTGACGCGTCTCCTAGAGTAAAGTCCGTCCTTATGTGAAATGTACAACGTGACAGAAAGTCTGGTATCGAAAAACAGTTACTCCCCGAGAAAAGGGTATTACATCCGATTATAAGTAGGTAAAAATAAAAAATTGGGATATTTGTCGAATACATTTTAATATTTGTTAACGGATATCAACGGTTGGACTTTATGGTGCGAAACTGTTTAAGCAAGGACAGCTTCACAAGTAGCAAGTTAAAGCGTGGAGCATGACGGTAAAGTTTTAAGACATAAATGTGTGGCATTGTGTCAGAAAGAAAGTGTTGCTAGAAGAGCTTGGTATGGTTGGATTGTAGTAACATGCGACACAATGTAAAAAGAAGGGAAAACTTTGTTCGGAGAAATTACGAGAGAATATGAAGAAATTATGACCTTCCTAAATTAATGCTCTTGTCCACGTAAGTATGTACGTAAACATATACTTATGTCTATGTCTATTCAAAACCATTCTAATAGGTCTAAAGTTGTGGTGTGTTTTCCAATGCCAAAATTGCTAGCATTATGGTCACATTGTGAACCTCACATCTTAAATATTTGAAAAGACTAATCAAAATTAATATGTATTTTTATTGAAGTTTGCCAAAAAATACATACAGAAAACCTATTTTTTCATACCCGTGCTTAGGAAGATTCAGCTAATTTATGCAAAGACTTTGTCTGTCCGTCCGTCTCTCTGTCTCTATGTCAGTACACGGGGTATTACATATATGATATACCCCGTGTACTGACATATATGTATGCATGTGTAGGTATACATATATGTGTGACTCTTTCAGATTTTTAGGCGTATGTATATACATTGACTTAATATGTACGGATGTGTTTATACATCGAAGTTAGGGGTACTCAGGCCGCATGGGAGAATCCTCAACAGGAGGCCGCCATCAACCACCTCAAGAATGGTGCACCTACACCGGAGGATAAAGCCCGCCTCCTTGCTATGGGACAGCCGCATGTGGGGGCGTGGCTAAATGCCGTCCCTTCGCCACAACTAGGGAAGCTACTCCCCAACGAGACGTTCGGAGTCGCTTGCGCGCTTCGCCTTGGATGCGACGTGTGCCACCCTCATAAATGCCCATGTGGAGCGGAGGTCACAACAAAAGGCTATCATGGCTTAAAGTGTAAGAGGAGCGCAGGTCGTTATTCGCGACACACTGCGGCAAATGACGTGATTTGGAGAGCGCTCCGATCTGCGGGAGCCCCAGCTATCAAAGAGCCACCAGGTTGCTCTCGACAAGACGGAAAGCGCCCTGACGGGCTAACGTTAATCCCTTGGGCGAGAGGGAGACCCCTGGTATGGGATTTTACATGTTCGGACACTTTTGCACCGTCTTACCTCCCTCAAACCTGCGTTTATCCTGGTGCGGCAGCCGAGAAGGCAGAGGACGCCAAGAGGAAGAAGTATGAGTTCCTCCAGGACAGGTTCCTCTTTGTTCCTGTAGCCATTGAAACGATAGGAGTGTGGGGCAAAGAGGGCCTGTCCCTTATCAAGGAAATCGGATCAAGGATCACGATCGTTACGGAGGAGAAGAGGGCAACGTCTTTTCTCCTCCGAAGGATGAGCATTGCAGTACAGCGTGGAAATGTTGCTGCAATTTTAGGATCTCCTCCAGCCGGTCGAGAGCTGGAGGAGATATTTTTACTATAAGACGACGACATAGGTTTATTAAATTAAATTTCAGATAGGGAAATTGTGTGAGGCGCTGGTCGTTTAGCTTTTTTAAAATATAAGATGTAAATAAGTACTCTACTCTGCGATACAATTCATACTTCTAACGATTAAATAAAGTAACGGTTTATACATACATACATACCTATAGTATGTCCAGGAATAAATGGTTCCGCACATAATGACCTGTGTATTAAGACCTGTTTAGTAGATATTTATAAAATCTTTCGTAAGTTGTAGGTAAGAACCACACATGTCCGTTTTTGCTTCGAAGGATTTTTATTACTCCGTTCTTGGCCACCAATCCGACTTTCCCCAACAACCCTCCAATTTACGATTTTCACTCGAAATTCGAAATGTACTTGCTGATTTTTCACCATTAACGTTCGAATTGTTCTATCTCTTTCGCGTTGAAACGAAGATTAGAGTACCTTCTTTTGCGCAAGGCCCGAAACTTGTAGATTTCTCGCAAATAAAGGACATTAGGAGGTTGGCTGTTTTAAGGATAGCTTTCTCAATGTTAACCGTCACATGACTAACTAGGCATTTTACAGGGTATATAGTTTTCATGTACAAATATTGTTGATAATCTACACTGGCAGAGCTATCTGCGTGAAAAAATGTGTTTCCCGAAGTCTTTATGGGATCAGGGTCGACGTAGATGTCATCATCATTGATAATCATTTTTAATGACATCTGTTGACACTTTCTTTGCACCATTTTTGGATGGTGATTTTTTGGTCTTCAACATACATACTTTGGGAGACTTTCTTTCATTTTTTCTATAATCCCCAGTTTATGAACTTCGATGTTGCGGAACAAACTTTTTGAAATTTTCATTATCGGGGCAGCGCCACAATTTAACGTGGAAGAGTTATGGGTGAAGAGTTTTTTAATGTCTTTCAAGATTTTGTGGGTGGCTATGAGGCGAGTTGATCTGGAAAGTTTTTTGAATTCCACTTTTTGTCATCCTCATGCATCGAAATATAAACGTAGATTTTGGTTTGCGACATTCTTCTGTTTTGAAGTACAGCCACGCTTTGTTCGAGTCACGACAAGCGACGATTTTGCAGTTATGAAAAACTTGATTCGCGAGGTTTTCACTTTCATGGTGATTGCTACTAAATTTCGCTATTTTAAGAAAAAATGCTTTGTATCCCTTGGAGGTCCATGCAATTACGTTTCAAAAAATGAAATTGAAAAATAGAAATCTGCACAAACTGCGCAGTATGCGTACACATTGCGCGGAACCATGTATTCCTGGACATACCTTAGATTCCCGCATGTTAATGATAACTTTCTGCAACCATTGATTGGGTACGATACATATCTATCTTGCAGAATTTATAGTTTACATACCCGCGTTACCCAACTGCAAATCGGTAAAACTTGTTACCTCATGAGAGCATTTATTTTGCAGCCATCAATAAAAATTGCCTTTGAGCTTGACTTTGGACTACTGCATGCACAGTTAGATAAGTTAGACACTCGTGTTACACAAACTGGAGTTTGACAAGGATAAGATTGAGCAAATTAAGGCAATTTTGTGAACAATGATAAGCATTCATTCCTTCTCACTTATATATAAACGCTTACATAAATACGTAGCACAAGTCAAAACCCTTGAAAAACACTTAAACTTATAGAAAAACACACTGCGCAGAAACCCTGCACAGTAAATTTGTAGATAATTCCAATAAGCGAGATATTAATTCCTGGTTGCCTCACTTTCCTTATGAATTAATAGACCTGTCAAGAAGTGTATCCATGCAATATGCACGTGCATATTTATGCCTGTCGTACCATCTTATGATATCAATTCGTTACCAATTCAAGCATAATCGAACAACAACTTCATACACATATTTACCCCTACGCAAATTTATCTTTATCAATTCTCAGTTTATTCATCTCAACTTCAGACCAGATTTAACCAAGGTGACAAATCCAGTCCGGATTTAGCCTTCGAACAAACACAATCTTGAGAGATCCTAAATAATTTCGAGAAATTTCCAGAAACGATGAAGTCCATTTTGATCTTGGCTTCCCTAGTTTTAGTTGGGGCAGGTAATGACGGAATTTTATTATTTCCAAATTTATGATAAAGTATTATAAAAATTGTATAAATATTTTTGTTTCAAGTTTATTTTCAAAATTATTTTGTTTCTTCAAAATTTGACCCCGACTTTTTGCAGCTCCTCAATTAGCAGGCTTGCAGTTGCCAACGATTCCTAACCTGACTGACTTAACAGATACGATTACCACGCTCTCCAACTACCTAAATCAGCTTCAGTCCGATTTACTTATTCTTAGTGTGCAGGTTCCTACAGATTTCGGAAATCCGTTGTCCACAACGGTCGACCGTCTCGGTTTCACTACTTCGTCCCTGTTCAATTCAACCTCCGTTGGCACGCCTATGGCGTCAATGATCGCAGCCATTAAAGACGAGATCAGTTCTTTGCAGGCGCAAGTTCGTGACCTCACGGCCTAATTGTCGAATCGAATTAGGGAAGAAACGGACTCGAAATTAGCTCAGATTCAACGAACCATCGACAACAGCAACCGGTTATTAAACGAGCTCCAAACCATGGTGAAGAATCTCGCTGCTTCTGCGGCTACAACGGTAGCGTCGGGTTAAAAAAACGTTAACTTGATTTATTAGCTTACGTATTTTGGAATTTACAAAATTTTTGAATCTTATAATTTATAAAAATATATGTATGTAAACAAAAAATACTAATCATGAAATATAATATTCATCTGGCCAGAAATATATGTACTAGACCAAAATTTATGCTAATTGGTGCTTAATAAAGTAAATTTCTGGGGTCAAAATTTAGTAAAAAATAGCTTCCAGGATAGAAGTGTAGTTGTATGGATCATATTTTAAGAGAGGTTTGTTCTCATAAATTTTAACATCACAACATATCTTGTATTGCCCCATGCTTCCATCGCTCGTTTGGGCGGCGCACACTTGGTCAGCTCCGCAGTCCTGGTCTGTCAGACATGCGCAGTAATCGGCAACCGCACATCGACTAATTCTTGGGTCGGTATCCATTTCATGGGAGAAACCGAGAAATCGGAGAGAAAATTTGTTCCGAAATACGGCAAAGGGATCATATGAATGGACAGCAGTGACAAATCGGACCCAATTTGCGGGAGGGACAGATTTCTTGATGATTTCGTGGGTGTGGTAGTAACCCCCATTCTTACCCCAGTGGGGGCGACAGTCATATTCTGCAATCTAAAATGAAAAAAATACGATTTTTAAATTTCCTAGAAATTTGCAGTTCTACCATATAATTTTCAAGATTATTACAAATTTAAATTTTGCAGTTAAATACATATACAAAGGCAAATCACGCTATCATTCGTAAGTTGTAAAAAAATCTGTTGTAAGTTTTGTAAAATGAGTAATCTTACAAACTATAAAAAAATAAACGACGCCCAAGATTCGAGTTTTCCAAATTTCTAAAGTTAATTCTGCAAATAGGGTTCTCAATCTTTGATTTACAAATTTGTGCAAAATTTTATCGGATTTTTTTCAAGAATCACTTACAAAAATTTGCATTGCACTCTGATAAACTCCACTTCCCGCAATGGGATCATTTCCATCGATCGTGGCCGAGCCGAGAAGACTCAGCATTACGGTGTCCCTTCCATAAGCACGTGACATCAGGGTTGTGGATGCGGGATGAAATCTTATTTGAATTCTCGTAATTGCCGCAGGAATTTGGGTCAACAGCTTTCGAATTCTGGCCGCAATGGCGGGTAGTTTGTCTGCTGGACATCCCAACGAATCGTCCAAACCTCGAGCGGAATAATCCCCGTAATACCAGTCACAGATGTCGCATGTCGCCGCCATGATGTCGTGACCATAGCCAACGGCGGGATGGGGGAGGGAGACGTTGTCCTCGGAGAAAATGGGGACACGACCTGGGGAAAAGTTAATATTAGGTCATATTGCTTCCAATGGGAGATTTGCTTCAGAGGATTTTAAAAATATCGTAATAAATATGTCGTGAAATTAAATTTTGTCGTAAATCTGCCAACCTATGACTTTGGTGTAGTAGGATAACATCGTATTTTCCTGGATGGCATTAAATCCCGCGATGTTTCTCGACTTGTGAAGAGCATCGTTTAAGTTTCGTTCCGCAAGGGCTGAATCCTCATCAGTTTCGGTGAACAGGACCCAGCGCGCCTCTCCCGGGAGGGAAACGTCGTTCGTAAATTTTCCTTTATTTATAACCACCTAAAATTCCAATAAAATTCCCACTTAAATGCCCAATTTTTCAAACTTATTGAATTACCATTGAGAGTAAAAAAAATGCGAATTTTGTTTAACTCTTTAAACAAAAATCGTATAGTCTTAAAGCAAAACATTTTTTGCAAAATGTCGCAAATCTTAAAATTCTAAAATTAAACTTAGGTTGCCTTCAACACTGTAAATAATTTGAAATGAATTTAATTAAAGCGAACCTTTTTCGTGGCGGGAAACCACGCTGCCTGGAAAAAGTCGAATTTTCGCGCCATCTCGACGAAGTCGTTATCCATTAGGATGTTATCGTCTTCCGGTCCTGTCTCGACAACGATTTTGAACAATTCCACCGTTTGAAAAGTTATCTCCACAAGAACGCCGAGCATCCCAAGATGAATTCTGAACACGTTCAACTCTTCGCCAGAAATTGTGCGGACGATCCCCAACCCATCGACGATACTCATTCGGACGACCTGTTCGGAAAGGGAGGCCGGGTGAACGAGAGACGATCCATGTGCTCCGGTTCCAACAGCACCGCCAAGTGTGAGGCCGTCTATAATTAAATATTCAAGCATTTAACGAGTTTCTTTCAAATCGGAGACAACCTTAATTCAATTTCTAATACTTTTTCAAGTGCAGGTAACCAAGCGCAAGCAATAACCGTAAGAAATTGATTTCTTGCTGCTATTTTGACCCGCAGGAAATTCAAGGCTACTTCTCGCCGCTGTGGTTCATAGAGCGCGTTGCTAGATGGCGCATGTTAAAATACTTGCGCTTTGTTTTTGCTTTTTTGCACCTTGCATTTCTTGCATTTTTTGGATTGCAAGAAATATGTACAACAAACCCGCCAGAATTGAAACCCCGATTTTTTGGACGGGGGAATTTCCCGCAAAATATTGCAATTTTGCCAGCGTAAAATTTAAAGTGTTCCGCAATTTGAAATGAAGATATTGAAACCCACATACCATAACCCGGCAAATGTATGAAAGCTCTGCCGTGTCGCTTCAAGAATGCAGATGCGTCTCGAAGTTTGACCCCACTTCCGAACGTCGCCGTTCCATCGGAACTTAGCTTCTTGTCTTGAAAATTTCTCATAACGAGGGGCGTCCCATCCGTGCAGATGATGCCCGTCGCTGAATGTCGCGACCCGATGGGTTTAACAGTTTGTCGAAAAAAGCCCGCGTTTATGACGATCTTCTGAATTTGTGTCGTCGTGCTGGGAAAGCTGAAAGGGGACGATGGCGTGCAATACGGTGTTCTCCCATCGTACGAGGAATATGGTGGCTGTAAATTAATTGACGGGCTAATTTAAATTATCTTTGTGGGACATGTCTCTATTTTATCAGCTCATAACTTTGTACAAATTCCTCACATATATTTTGGGCATACTGTCTTATATTTCGCATCTATTTACCAATTAACAAATACATATAAAATAGTGTCTCAAAATAAAAACGTAAATTTTCGGTGTGAACTTGTAAACATAAATTCAATGATTTTCACTTAAAAATGCAAAGTACCGCAGATTTCTGAATCTGAAGTTTTGCCTAATATTCTCAATTTGCAAACTCGGAATTAATTAAATACCTTCATACCATAATTGCCTTTATTAATTAATTATTAGCATAAATTAAAAATGTGGTCCGCTGTCAACCCTCTTAAAATTATAGTGCGTATAAATTTGTTGGTCTATATAAAAACGATGCCAATTTATTTATTTACTCGTATGGAAAACAAATACCTGTAAAGAATGTCCTTCAAGATCATCATTCTGCGTAAAAACTGTCGATGGACACAAACTTAGAAGTAAAATTAAGACAAGACTGACCAATTTGGTGAAGAACTGCATGGTTGACCTGGTACAGTACATCTGCAAAATGTGCTTCTGTTACTGGTGAATGAATATTCATGAGGCTTCATTTGGCATTCCAGTTCAGGTAGTACAGTACACACAAACAGTAAAAATAGCACAATAACCCACATTCGTTGTTAACGTGAGTATCCAGCAAACTAATAATGTACATACAATAATCCACGCTACGCCTAAAATTTAGGGACTCGAATAAATGCGATGGTCCATACCAAGAGGCCGCGGAAGTGCGGGGGTAAGGTCTCCACCGTGATTTATGTATGGCGCATCCTCTCCCCATGTTATATAAAACACTCCCAGTCTTCCCTACACTACAATGTTAATGTACCCAGATGTCCCCACGGCTTCCGCAGCCGCTGTTCGTCCGTGCACCTTTTAACTGAAAACCCACCCTGTTAATCCTATCCACCTGCTCCTAAAAATATATGTATGCGTGTGGTTCATGGAAAAAAACCTGGTTAATTATAGAACGATGTTTAGCAACAAAAAGTTAACATTTTATCTCTGGTAAATAGTGGGAAACATTGTTCTGTATTTATATTTATATGCATACATACATACATGTAAATATGTATGCATATAAATATAAATACAAGTATACATACTTGTATTTATATTTATTTTCACAAGATTTCAGCTAATTTTATACAATTTTAATTCATTAGTGTTGATTCATTTCGTGAAAGTCTCCAAACATAAAATACATTTTAGTATGCATGTACTAATATAATTGACGGCAAAAACTTAACTCGATTTTTTTCAAAGTTTTAACAATAAAAACGTAAAATTAATATTTATGTACCTGTTCAAACCCATTTTTCTTTAAGCAAGTCTTAATATATTTACAAGACCAAGATCGCATTTACCGTGTAATTCAGAATAACATCCAAATATCTTGACAGAGTTTGTCTCTTTATTAAAAAGAAGGGCCCCACCCAAAATCCGATCGGACGCAATGATCTCAATTTTCTCCTTTTCATCCTATTGTTAACAGTCTTTTTCCAATCCTGCAGTAAATTTACCGCTTCACTATTACTCTTTCCCGCCTCGGGAAGTTCTCCCATGATAATTATCGGCACCAAGGTAGCCAACAAGACCACAATGAGGTACAAAAGCCCGGGTATTTTCCCGTGTAACATTATCACCACATAATTCGCCATGACGTCAATCACAAATCCTGGTCCCATTATGAAAATCGCCGAAATATCGGAATACTGACGCACCACGTGACATTGCACCATTAAAACTGAATAAATTTCTAGATCGGATAAACCCTCAAGTTTCAAAATTTTGCATTTTGCTTTTTCAGAATCTAATTTCCGACAAAACTTATATTTTGCAATTTCAGAATTTTCAGGTTTCCGATAAAATTTTAACTGAAAGAGACAGCTTTTTGAGTATAACGTTAACATGATTAAGGTCAGGTGCGCGAGTCCGATTGATGACACGATTTCCGCCAAGGCTAGCGTGCAGATAAGCAGTCGGGTTAAGATGCATGTAACGGTCTGGATAAGTGTGCCAGGGGTGTCGGGTAAGACAAATTTGATCGGATCCACTTCCGCGACGACGAAGAGAATGGGCGCGGTAAAAATGAAGGATAAAAATGCCGTGGCCACGCCATTGAATAATATTCCTAACGGGTCACGATACCAGGGCGGGTCATCGATGGAAGGCCGGGTGATGACGTTGTTTTCTAGAAAATATAGAAAACAATCTTGCAAAATTCTTGCTGGGAAGAATTAACGGACAAGTTATGCAATAATTATAAAAATAGTAGCAGAAAGAACTATAAAATTGGTTTTGCGTACACAATTTTAGACTAAGCTGAAGAAAGGGCAAATTTGCACAGTATTTGCATCGTAGCTATAATTATGTATCGTGCAATTCACAGTATTTGGACATTCAAATATACATAGCTTGATTCAACAATTTTATCTCGATTCCTTAAAAAATTTGTGAAAATGTAGTCAGATATATTGTGGGTATTCACGTCGCTTCGCAACATATCTTCTCAACTTTGCGATGTTTACGAAGAGTTGCGCTGCGATGCGACAACCAATCAGATTGCTTTATTTTTTTACGAAACATGCGAAGCAAAAGGGCATCTATTATCGTCGTAAACTATTTTCGCAAACTCGTCGTCAAGTGAAATTTTTCGTTTCTCCTCATTTTTGAAAATGTTGCCAGACAACCTTACACTTCTCCGTCAAATGAATTATTGTTTGCAAATAATCAATTTACGCATTTTCATCTATATTATAATTTCGAAAAGTCCGTCCCGTGAAATTTTCCGTGACATTCCTGCATTCTGATTGGCTGTTGAAATTCTGGATCCACCAATCAGAGAAGGGTTATGATTTCGGTTATGATTTCGGTTATAACTTCGGTTATGATTTAGGTTATGATTTCGGTTATGATTTCGGTTATGATTTAGGTTATGATTTCGGTTATGGTTTAGGTTATGATTTCGGTTATGAATTCGGTTATGATTTCGGTTATGATTTAGGTTATGATTTCGGTTATGATTTAGGTTATGATTTAGGTTATGATTTCGGTTATGATTTAGGTTATGATTTCGGTTATGGTTTAGGTTATGATTCCGGTTATGATTTCGGTTATGATTTCGGTTATGATTTCGGTTATGACTTCGGTTATGATTTAGGTTATGATTTCGGTTATGACTTCGGTTATAATTTAGGTTATGATTTCGGTAGTGATTTCGGTTATGATTTAGGGTATGATTTAGGTTGTAATTTCGGTTATGATTTAGGGTATGATTTAGGTTGTGATTTCGGTTGTGATTTCTGTTATGATTTAGGTTTAAAGAATCCTAAAAGTATTCGTTAGCTACCTGCAAATTTCTCCCTACCCAAGTAAAATAGAATACAAATCAAATCCTAAAATTCCTATTTAGCAACGTTAAAAAATACCTTGGCAACGTTAGAAAATTCCTTAACAACGTTAAAAAAATTCCTTGGCAATGTTAAAAAATTCTTCAGCAACGATAAAAAAATTCCTTATCAACGTTAAAGAAATTCCTTGGCAACGTTAAAAAAATTCCTTAGCAACGGTGAAAAAATTCCTTAGCAACTTTAAAAAAACTCCTTGACAATGTTTAAAAAATTCCTTAGCAATGTTACAAAAATTCCTTAGCAACGTTAAAAAAATTCCTTAGCAATGTTTAAAAAATTCCTTAGCAACGTTAAAAAAATTCCTTAGCAATGTTAAAAAAACTCCTTAGCAACGTTAAAAAAATTCCTTAGCAACGCTAAAAAAATTCCTTAGCAACGTTAAAAAAATTCCTTGGCCACGTTAACAAAATTCCGTTAACAAAATTCGCGCCAGTTACATATTTACTTCGTTGATCCTATGATTGGTTGGTTCGTTTAGGACCCTAAATTTGGACCGTCTTTAAGACGGGCTTATAGGCTAGTGTAAAATAAGTCGTTCACGACACCGATTTCGCAAACACTGCAAAGTTGCGAAGATGTGTTGCGAAGCGACGTTTTTTAGTGACGTGAATACCTACATTGTTAATATGTAACTGGTATAAAAATATCTGGCTGTTCTTGCAAAAATTGAGTATGCTTGTGAGATAAAAAAATTGTAGCATTAAATAAGTTACATACTATGTATATATTGATATCTGTATCATTACTTTTCAGATATTTTTCCATTTCCATGTAATTGTTCATCGCGAAGGAAAGCTCTTCCCCGTCCGTGCACGCCTTCAGAAATAGAGGTACAGAGTGCACCACAAGAAAACATTCCAGAGCGAGAAATATCACTTCGCTTGAGTTGAGGAGTCTCCCATTTTTTAATGATAATGATAGAACATAAACCGGAATTATTCCAAATGAAATCACAACATTTAAATTGGACAAAATCCACCGAACTTTATTCGGCTTTGGATCCATTTCGAATTTGTGTTTTTCTGGGTTCCAAATATTTGGGGGAAGGTAGCGTAATTTCTTTAAGGCGAAGAAAAATCGAGAAAGTGCACCCAGCCCAAATTTTGAGATCATGTTGTTGTTTCTTGTGACTAAATAAAACTAAATAATCGAAATACTGACTCTTTTCGACTATCTACATTTGATTTTAAATTAAACTGGACACATCTTCCAGCCAGCGATTCACAATTTTCAATTTCACTGAATTTGCAACATAGTCGGCATAAATATGTAAGCACATACAGAGAAATTTATATCACATTCACAATAAGAAATTCGGTAGTATGCACACTCTTAAAATTAATGTCACACTTTTGAAAAGTAAATCCACTCTGAATTCTATAAATATAGAATACATATATCTTAATATTAAAATAAATATGTAGGTACTCGAATTTGTTCATATTATTATGCATATTAGGTAAACTATGTATACTGAGTCCAGAATAAACTTTACCATTTATTAAGTTGACGCTAGTCTGAAAGTAGCATGTATAATTTACTTAATATTGAATTAAGATTGTGTGTATTTACGTTTCAAAACATTATTTTTAGGAGTGCACATACATATGTAAATAGTTATCCCTGTCCGTACTTATTTACTGGGTAACGATTTCCTACAGGATTGTTAATGATGCTTTACAGGCTGCTAAATTATATGTAGATACATTGGATACACATTCTAAATCGAATATATAGATTGTATATAATTACTTTAATTAATTAATTAGGATACCGGTACACCTATATACCCTGGCTAGAAATTATGCCATCCATAATTTAATATCAGTTTTCTTAGAGTGCAAATTAGATCCTGATGTTATTTATGTATGCCGACAGGAAACAATATATCCATATTTAATACATACATATTCAACTTAAATATGAAAAGTGAATTATTTAATATCACGATGTGATCGTTTGGAATATAACATTTGGCAATGTATAAAAGAAGGTATATAAGTACATATTTACATACATTGTGAATACGAATTTAAACCCCGTTTAACTTTTTTTGAAGCCACGTTCAAATTGAATTTCAGCCACGCTCCGATTTTAATCTTAGATTTTTTAGACCTTCAATTTATTGATTTACATCGCATGCTTATGCACGTACATACA